GATGAGGACAAGGCTAAAGACAACCTGCTTAATCCAGGGGGTGAAGTCAGCACAACTCAACTCCCACCCCCACGCTAAAGAGCAAAAGCCAAGGGAGGCAACCTCAGCCCCAGCAAGGAGCCAGCCTCATTACTCCCCTGGGATTTCCTACTTGGGGCTTGCTCATGGGGCTGTGAAGGCTCATTTATCACTTATCATGGGGGGGATTTTGCTCTTGCCTGGTTCAGCATCCTGAGCTACCAGCAATTTTCTCAGCATTGATCTGATCCACAGCTTCTCTGAAATCCTGAGTGGCAGAGGGATTTTTTTTTTTCCCCGTCTGGGTCTGCCTGCCCAAAAACTGACTTCCTCAGTGTGGTGAAATGCTTTTCCATCCAGCCAGCCCTGCTGCCTGGGGCTGTGAGTGCAACCCAGAGGGGAAGAGCCCTGGGTAGATTGGCAGCAGATGGCTGCAGCACACAGCATCACATCAAACCCTCAGGGCTATCCTGGTGTCCCAGATTCAGTGGTGCCATCATTCTTCTGCCTTGCCCACTAAGGAGAGATGCTTCCAAACCCTGCTGAAAACATGGTTTAATAACAGAGAAATGTAAATTGTACAGACACCACGGGGCCTGACTCCCTCACAGAGCACCCCCTCCCATGCTGCTGCCTTCCCACGTGCTCCCCTTGTTCAGCAGCTCTGCAAGCAGGATCAGAACTGGGTGTGTGAGCAGGTTCTTGCTGAGCAGAGCTTGCTAGCAGCAAGAAAACTAGAAATCCTCCAGAACTCAGAGCTGTCATCTCCCTTAAGGTTACTAAACTAGACAAAGGACTCAGCTGCCCAAAGGGGCTGCAGAAGCACCCCCACCACCTGCTTTTTAGACCCATCAAGGTGAAGTGAAAAGCCTGGGTCATTCTGTCTCCTTGCTTTCCTCACCCCCCTGCTCTTTCTTTGCCAGGCTGCTCCACCACTGCTCCTATCCGAGTTTACCATCATTCATAAGGACCTGGACAGAAAAGTATCCACAATGCAAGGTGGTTTATGGTGTTGCTCATTGCCAGGCAGCAGGACACTTGGCCAGATGGATCCCAATATCCCTCCCACAGCAGTGGGAACCAACCTCACTCTGTGTGGGAAGAGCTGCTTGTGCAGACATCCCACTGGAGGTGGGGAAATGTGGGACACCAAGGGCTGGATTCAGCTCACCAGACTTGATCAGCTGAACTGTTTTACCTCACAGAGAACTGTGGCCTTTGCTGGGCTATATGGTGAATGCCAGCTTGTCATTCAGCCAAACCCAGCAGGAGTCAGCAAGCCTAAGATTGATGCACCTGCTAATGCAAATTCCAAAATCTTCTGGATAATGAGAGAGAGCACAAGCATCAGAACCTCTAGGGAGAGCCATAAAAACCTGTCCCTGTATCATCATCAGTTCCAGGAAACAAAAAATGGATCAAGGTCTATCAAGCCCCCTGCACACACTCATTGGACTTCTAGGTGACTTTCTATGAAGCTCCTATTTTGAGCAGTGATCAATTATGCATTTCAAGCCATATGGCACCTTCATTCCAGAAGGAAGGCATTTCGTCTTCAAATGTGTAAGCTAGAAAATCTGCTGCATCCTGACAAAAAATGCAACATTGCCAGTTACTCACAGAAGCAGAATCATTAAGAAAAAGAAAATAAAAACAGGGTAAGTTTAATCAGATGTCCATTTTTCATTGAAATACCCTTGAAAAGGATTGTACCCTTGTATTTCCACTTCCAGTTTTTTTTTAAATTAGTCTGAGCCAGAGCTTTTTTGTGGGAAACTTGATATAATATACAACATTACCAATTTAGCAGAAGGATCTCTTCCAGCATGGATCTCCTCCAGGCACAAAAGCACCAAAGCCCTCCGGACAGATATGCTACCAGACATGACAGCAGTCCTGCACACTATCAGAAGTATCATTCCCATCCCAGGAATTATGGATGAGAAATGTAGAAAAATACTGCTCTCCAGTGGAGCCAGAACATCCAAAGCACTTCTCAGCAACAAGTGATGCTCCAGACATTGACATTTTTTATATGGCAGCAGGCTGTTCCTTCTCTGACAGCCTCCTCCAGCCCAGGTTTCATTCCAGAGGATCAGTGAAAATGGTGCTGCCTCTCAGTTCTCTGCTTGGAATGAGACAACAACGAGGTGAAATTTAAGAGTTGCTTTAACTCATTGCCCCTAACCTGATTCAGCCAAAACCAAAGACAGCAATAAGCAAAAGGTGATTTGATTGCTGCCCCAAAGGGCAAATAATCACCAGTAACAATGTGTTCTTCCGAGGAAACCAAGCTGGTGACCACTGACCATAAGTGTAATACTCAGCCACAAGGAATTCCTTAGGCTTGAAGCCAGCAGGACAAACTGGAGAGAACGCTTTGGGGAATGACCAAGCGTGAAGGTCACAGCCACACCCACTGCGTGCTCTGACTGCTCACAGCCCCAAACATTCACCCCATAGGTGCTGACAGCTGTCACCCTCCTGCTATGCCAGGTATGTCCTTGCAGGTGGCAGAAGCAGCAACAATCCCTCCTCAGCACTGAGGCACGGCCTCATTGTGCTCCAACAAAGGACTTTGGACCGTGGCCCATTTCCAGAGGCTCTCTTTGCACAGGCTTTTCTGTGAAAGCACACCCAGAGCTCTGGAAATGTTTATTAAACCTTTTCTTCCTGGTTCTGCAGGTCACTGTAGTTGTTTGGACAGATACACCTAGAGCTCAAGGTCTCCCAGGAAGATGTTACGATGGTTAACTTGCAGCAATGTTCTCTCTGTAAATAACCGCTGTGATCAAGGTTAAGCTCTTTGTGGTTGAGTGGATTTTAATCTGAGCAAAGAATGTGTGGGCAAAGCTCTGCTGATCCAGAGCCCTCCGGGGATTCCCTGGGACCAATCCCAAGCAGCTGGGTGCCTCATTAGGGTGTGAATGAGGCTTTGCTGCAGAAAAGCTAAAGAAAAGACAATTGAAGCTCCCTGGCTTATTGATTTCTATTGTGATGGTAACAGCTCACGTAGATCTTCACTCCAACAGTCATCACTTTCTCCTGCTTCGGGCTATCCCTTCCACACCCGGGCAATTACATCCAGGCTGGCAGTCTGTACGTCAATCCCAGCTGATTCCCAATGGTTTGCCTGTCTCCAAGTCGCAGGATCTGTCAGCAGGTGGAGCTTCACGGCGGAGCTGGCACGGGCACCTGGCAGGCTCCTCACAGGAAGATTGATGCACTCCCACAGCACAGCAGCTCATCAGCTCCAAACAGCTCCACCAAGAAATCAGTGCCCCTGACAAACTGCCTCCCCTGGAGCACACACACCTCAGCCCAGCGTTTCCAGAATACAGATTTTTCCCAATGTGGTGGCAGGCTCCTGGAGAAGTTCCTCCTCGGCCTGGGCACAGAAAAGCTGGCTATGAACCTACTGCTTTCGTTTGGCTTATACCCCACTGCCAGTTTAAAGGAACACCAATGTGGATACCACTAGCAATACTAAAAGAGGTTTCAAGTGGTAAGATTTTAATTCATTATTTGTATCTTGGCAGGAACTAACTGAAGAGCATTCTGGGAACTCGCCCAGATGACTCAAGTGTTGCAGGGACTTGTCCCCTTGAGAAAGTTGGGAAAACTGACCCCAGGTCTGGCACTAATGGCTTTTTTCCCACCACTTCTCAGCTGCATCAGATCTCAATGCCTGATATCCCCCAGCAGCTCTGAGCTTCCCTTAAAAGCTCCACCAAACATATTCTGCCTGATATCCCCCAGCAGGTCTGAGCTTCCCTTAAAAGCTCCACCAAACATATTCTCTTCTGCAGCCAATGCTTATAGCCAGGACAAATGTGCCTCTGCCCATTCCCTGAATTTTCAGCTATTCCACTCACAGCTCTCTTCTTGTCCTGGCACGAGGGGACAGCAGCTGACTCACTGTGCTGGGAAGCAGGATGAGACGTGCCCATGGATCTGGACAGGAATGTGATCTTAGGGCTGGTGAAAGGTGCAAACCTCTCACCTCCACAGTCTTGTTAGGGTGGCAATCACTCCACACCTCACAAACTTTGTAACAACCTGGAGGACAGAGCTGGCATCAATGTCTCAGGAAAACACACCCGAACTGCTGAAGGAACTGCTTGGCCTAAACCACGGGCAGAGCAACAACCAAAAAATGAAGCTACCACTGACAACAGCTCAGATTACTCCTCCACCACTGGTGGGTTCTTTCAGACCTACCAGGAATTCACTTTCCCTTTCAATATTCAGGGAGCACAGAAGCATGAAATTTGATTTCTTTCTTCTGAAGATGCTGGAGATTATTTTAATTCTAACTTGGTATTGCTAAAAGAAAGCTCTTATTCAGTGGTTTAATATAATGTCTTTTAGTATCTGTTGCAGCAATACAATCTCTGCTTTCTTTCCTATAAATGTACTAATCTCACCAAAGGATATAATTTGAAGAGTAGAATGAAGTGGAATAAAAATACGCAGCAGCAGGGAAATGTCCTTTTCAAACAGGAACCTGCTCTGAGCTATGTGCACTCTGTTCCATCAGATTAGACAGAACAACAATTTAAATCCCAGCCTCAATGATCAGCATGAAGAGCAGAAAATGTTCCTTCACCCTTCCCTGGAACTCGGTATGAGCAGATGCACAGTGGAGAGAGGGAGAAGCAAAAGCAGACAGCAGGGGAGGTGAGATGTATCAGAAAGGGGACACCAAATAACGAGGGAAGCTTAGAGAACTGCCTTGGCAGAGAGAGCCAGATACACAGAGAAATGATTCACTGGGTTAAAAACAAAAACAAAGCAGCAGGGATAACAGGGCTGAACATACAGTGGGAAACACAACAGAGGATTTACAAATTTATTGCCTGCTTGAAACACATTTCTAGGGGGCTAAGAGGCCAAATTATTTCTGCTTGAACTCAACACTGATTAAGAAAGACTTCAACTGCATTAGAACATGCAAGAGAAATACCACCATTCCCAGTTAAATGATGAAAAAATAGGTGAACACTGCTGGCACAGTAAATAAAGGCAGAATCACTCCCTGACTGGTGTCTGGAACTAGAAATACTCTCCCAACAATGACAGAAGATGAAATGACTGAAAAAGCACCACACCCCAAGTACCCCCACAGGACCCAATGTCTTCCATAGCAGGGTGGGACCACCCCAGGGATGGGGACTAACGCCAGTATTTAATAAATAGCAATTTTAAAGTATAACAGCTTTATTTCCACCTAGCAAGTAACTGCTGTGAGCATATCAGTACTGCCCACACAAGATTAATCAGTAGTTCCAGACCTACAGAATAAAGGATTGTTTGGTTTGGGTTTTGTCCTCTTAAAATAAGATTTCACTGTTCTTAGACATGGAGAACACTTTGGGCTGTTAACTGTCTTGCTTCTAGAGAAATTAAAGAAGTTAAGAAATACTTGACCAAAGTAGACATTTAAAGAAAAACCTTATTTTAGGAAGATTAAATTTTGGAAAAAAGGTTCTTTCAGGAAACACTTCCTGTTGCAATATGAACAGAATGTACAATATGTACTACATTCAGAGTTATGCTTTCCCCTCATGAAGAGCAAAGCTGTCTGTCTTCATCACGACTTTTCAGGTTTTTCTTCTGATTTCTCATTTATCAGGTCTTTAAATCCCAATTTTTCCAGTGGTTCATTAGCCATAAGTTGCCTAAGTAAAAAAGAAGAAAACAACAAAAAACATTATAGAGAACACAGCCTATAACCAAGAGAACAGCAGCATTTTCTATTTCATTTACCCTAAACAGATCCAAAACACCTATACAGAGTGACTGCTGTTTGACAAGACTTCAGAAAATTCACTTTAAGGAAAGCAACATTCAGTGATTTTTTCCCCCCTCTTAACGGTGGTTTTCCAATTAAACTTGTTATTTCCCCATTTTAGGTAATGAGTAAGAGTGTAGTCAGAAACCAACTTGTCTCCTGGTTATCTTTAATTAACACATTGCATAAGAGCTTCCTAAAATTCTACCAATGCCATTTACATTTTCAAGTGAATCTAGTTTAGAACAGCCTTTGTGGTGCCACTGGAGTTTGCTGTAGTGATTTTCATGCTCGATTTTGATTTGCAGTGTACTTTCCCTAGATACAGGGAAATTTGAGCATTTTTCGAAGTTCCCTGACTCACCCTTGTACAGGAAGCAGTGCAAAGCAATGCATGAATGGAAACATCCCTGGAAAACCAATCACCAACACTTTCTTCACTTGAACTGAGGTATAAAAACTTTTAACTTGCCTGCTTGAAACATATTTCTAAAGGGCTAGCAGGCCAAATTATTTCCGCTTGAACTCAGCATTAATTAAGACTCAACTGCGTTAGTGTATGCAAGAAAAATACCACTGGCTCTGAAAATTCATTGTTAGGTTATACTCAACACTTGTAGGCGTCTTGAAGACAGTCAGCAATTATTGCGAAGGCCGTGAAGAAGGTGAGCAAAGTATGGGCTATAAGTTAAAAGTTTACCTCGTAACCACAGCTGAAAACAAACAAACAAAAAAGCTTCACCCTGGCCGCTGTGCAGGGTGGAAGCTGCTCGGGTCTCGCTTGTTATCCCACCGTATGGGCTGGATAACATGGAAACCACAAGGCAGCTAACCTGCAGATGCCACACAGAGCATAAATTTCCTTCAAGAACAAAACTTTCTGTGTGACAGCGGGCTCCCTTGCCCTGCTGGCCCCGCAGAGGGCTCCCCGCTGTCCCCGGGCGCGGCGGGGTCACTCGCCTGTCCATGCGGCACTCCAGGTAGGCCATGGCGCTCTGCCGGCAGGCCGCGCTCTCGTAGCCGCTGTGGCGGAGACACTCCATGAACCGCTCCTTGAAGGCGCTGCACTCCCCTGCAACACACAGCGAGGGCCGCGCTAGCGCCGCGCTCGGGGGTGGGGGTGGTCGTGGGCCCGGCCCGGCGGGGCCCGGCGGGGCCGCGGGGGAGGCCCGGCGCTAGGCCGCGGTACCGCACCGAAGTGATCGAGCGGGAACGCGCCCTTGTCCGGCGGCCGCGGCGTGAAGCTCTTGCTGCTGAAGTTCATGGCGGTGGACATGTCGGTGCCGGGGGTGGGGACACGGAGGGCCCGGTCCCTGCGGTCACTCTGTGGTCACTCCCGGTTCCTCCGGTCACTCTCCCGCCGCCGGGGGGAGCCGCGCACCGAGCGCATCGAGCGGGGCTCACGTGACCGCCGCCGCACGGAGAGGGCGGGGCCGCGCCGCCGCGGGAACGGCGTGGGCGTTGCTGTGGCAACCGGAGCGCGGTGCGCGTCGCCATGGAGACGGCGCCGCCGCCATGTTGGGCCAGGCCTGGGGCGGGAGGGTCACTCCCGTCCCCGCGTCCAGGGCTCCGACAGACCCTGGGAAATACACACATTCCTCCTCAGGAAACCCGTGCCACTGTCCACATTCCCTTCCGAATGCTCCGGGTGTTCTCTGGGTTGTTCTGTGCAGGACTTTGGTGATCCTTGTGGGTCCCTTCCAGCCCAGGATACTCTGGGATTCCATAGGTCTGTGATTCGTTCTGTGAATGGGTGGCTGTGATGGTCGTGGGCTGCCTGTCTGTGCAGGGACCCGGAAAAACGGTGTGTCCTTGGCATCTGGACATTGGGACATGGAGGAGGAAAGAGCCAAACTTGGAGACTGGCATCCGCAAATCCCTTCATTCAGGATCCAGCCTTGTCCAATCTTTCCCTTTTCTATGCAGGGCTGAGACCAGGCTCCTCCTTCCCTTCTGCCCGAAGAATAAATTCCTCACCTGCCACTGCTGAGCTCTAGTCTTGCCTTAAACACCCATTTCTGGACCCAGCTCTGGCTGTCCTGTGATCCCAGAGCCCTGGGAATGGCACTGGCAGGAAGGCAGGACCAGCTTCCTTAGAAACCCAGCAGGATTTTGGATGGGCCGTCCCCATTCCGCTCAAACATCAGCCATCAGTGGTTCCTCATTCTCATTAATCTACACAGTTTAAGTTGTGCACAAACCTTATGGTACAAGCCCTGAGTTATTTTGTACCTCCCACCAGCACTGGGAGAACCCATGGGTTCCCAGCATGTGGCGTAAACGCTGGTGACAACAATAAAACCAAGGGGATGTTGGCAAAAGCTTGAGAAATTGTGAACTTCCAGATCCTCAAGATGTACCACAAAGAAAAACGCTCCTTTTGCCTGCAGGTTTACAGCACAAACTCTGCAGATTCACAATCTTCTGAAAGGAGGATGAGAAATCGCTTTAATTTAACTCACCAAGTGTTAACTGTGGATTATGCTGGCATTTTTTCTTCTTTGCCCATAGCTGCAATTGGTTTAAGACAGTATTTTATCTTTCTTAAGTTGATTTTCTTTTAATTAAATGACTGAGCTAAGCAGAAAGAATTCGAGGCTGGGAAAAAAAAAGAAACAAAATAGCTTCAATTTTTAAGGACAGCCATTATGGAAATATTAACTACAGCTCCATTTAAAGTGTCTTTTGTTTATGCTTTGATTGCTTTCTTATTACAGTATTGAAATTGTAAATGGAAAATTACACCATGTTCTATTACATAAGCAACTGGTTTGCACAGCTTGAAATATAAGATTTTATTACTAGGTTTTCAGGGATATGAACAATAGATGGGTTTTATTATACAGTAAATAGCACTTTTCCACTTGACTTCATTATAACACTTAATGGTAAAAGGGAGATACTCCTCTATCACAAATACATGCAGCAAACTGTCTCCCAGATTTCAGACGACCAAGCAGCAGGGAAGTAACTTTGGTTTATCTGGGCAAGTTTAACTGACATGTCAAAGCACTTGATTTTAGCAAACTGCCCAAATTACATTCCTTACTTTCTGTCACAGTGGTCGAATTGCTGGTTTCCCATGCCATGAAGGAAGAAGCCAAAGGAAGAAGATGTGCAGAGATCCCACAGTGGAATTGTTCCCAGGCAGACAGCACCAGCCCTTTGCAGTTCTGTTTAACATCTTTACCAATGATCGGGTGCACCCTCAGTAAGGTTGTGGGTATTAGGACAATTCACTTCCCCAAGCATTGCCACAGGCTGCCCAGGGCAGTGGTGGAGGCCCCCTGCCTGGAGGTATTTAAATGCCACGTAGATGTGGCATTTGGGGACATGATTTTAGTGGTGGCCTTGGCAGCACTGGGGGAACAGTTGGGCTCAATGATTTTCCAACCTAAATCTTTCTATGATTCTCTGCAAAGGCTACATCAACTTGCTGTATTTGATGGTATCTTTTTTTTTTTTTAATTTACATATATGTTAACTTAGGGTCTTTGGAGTCTTAAATGTTGTAGTTACTCAAATTCAGGTCAGGTATAGTAGCAGGTGTTTGGTTATGATTACTTAATGTTTTTATTGCAAATGCCAGTTGTATCTTCTAGAATTTCCTTTAAAGGTACAGGTTGTTATGCAATCTATTACATGTGCTTTACCAATTTAGGATCTATTTTTCCCAAGGAGATCAAATGAAACCCCCATTAGATAATCATTGTCAAGGAAAAAACCTCATTTATGGATTAAACCAACCAGTTCCAAAAGAACTCAACAAAAAAGAGCCACAAAGAGCAGTGCCACATACAGAGAATTAAATGCTTTTCACATATTATCTTTCAAAGAAATGGGAGACTTTGAGAGCATCAGGGAAATCTGAAATTGCTGTTTCAGCAAAAGGGTGCCCATTGTACAAGAGAGATGAGATAATTCATAGTGTTTTACAGGATCTCTAGTCTGAAGTCCTGAGCCCTTGTCAAAAATTAGAATGCTCAAATTAGAAGACTTCCCAAACTAGGGAAAATCTTGGCTCTTCCCCTTTCAAGTTACACAGCTTGATAGTCTAAAAAAGAAATAAAAATATTCTGCTTGAAACAGAGCTTTTCATCATTAATTACGGACTGAAGTAACATTTAAAACTGTTCTTTTCCAATTTTGTCAGATAGTGCTGAAAACTTATTCCACTACTGGTGTTTATCCATCAGCTGGACAAACATCTCCTGAGAAGGAATTATTATACACTCACCATTACTTTCTGGAAGCACCAAATTGAATAATACTTCAGAGAAGAACCTTTATTCTTTTTTACGGGCAGGGAAACGTCTGTGACTTCCATTATTTTCTCTCTCTCACCACGCTGCCTCTTTTTAGAGCCTGCAGACTCAAATTATCAGGTAGTTAATTGGAAAATAATTTATTGACAAGCCATGAAAGGCTTGGAGTAAAGCACTAGGGGATTTCATAGCTTTACTTGGGATAGCTGCAGGAAATTAATGAGCTGAACAAGACCAAGCACATTCAGATGCTGGAATTTGTGCCCTTGAGACTGCTGTTCCCAGCCCAGGCACAGGCACACCTCAGAGAAACATCCTTCCAGGATCACTCATTCCTATGCCTCACCTTCACAAGGCAAGCACGCCGCCAGCTCTTACATAAGGCCTCTTGCTCCATCACTGCCACAGGCTGTTGTAAACCATTTTTCTCCCTTTTAATCCAGGTTCCTAGACTAGCAAAAATGTAGAATATTGCCAGAACAGTCTGGAGAATGGGGATTTCTGTTGTGGATGATTAATGAAATATTATTGTTTTGCGCTTACAGGGAAATTGTAGTTTCGTGCCAATAAGGTCAGGGCCTTAATATGTTATGTGCTCTATAAAGATGTACAGAGTGATAGTTTATTTTCTGTTATTACTGAGCCAAAGCCTCATCAATTTAGAGAAGACCTTGTAGAAGCAGCAATGCTGCACTGAGAGGTGAAACAAACCATCTTAAATTGCTCATTGCAATTCTGGTGCATTTAAATCCACATCTCCACCTGCATCAAAATGGGCCCAGAAGTAAGATGCTGGGACCCTGCTTCTGTAGATACCAACTAATCATGATAGGCCTCTAATTTCCCTTGGATTAATACAATTTCTGCAATATGTTGTTGAGAGAGACAGAAGCCAGAGACCCAGAATAAAAAATCCTTGGAGCTGTGTTGAAGAATTCAATTTATCAGCTATATTTTGAAAATCATCTCTTTATAACCCAACATGCTCAATACTCACCTCCCAGGCCAGGCTGCCTCGACTGTAAATGTAGATCTGGAAGATCATGGTTCTAGCTACAGTTACAAGGGATTTTATTGCAAATCTTTTTGTAGATATGCATATTAAAAAGTACATTACCAGCACCAAAGCCAAGGATTTCCCATGTGTTTTCTCACTCATGAAGGAATGGCATCTATTCAGTCCAAGAAGGAGGCTTTTAAAAGCAACAAAACTCCCAAGAATGGTAAATGCTTAACATAAATGGGAAATACTCTCACCTTAGGCTCTGCACGAGGACAATGCACTAATATTATGCACAGATTTTTTTATTTTCTTCTCCCAGTAACCAGACTCATCACATATAATCTTTCAACTCAGAATATAGGGGAAAAAAAAATCAGGAATCTCTTTTTAAAAAATTGCCATTAAATAAAGATTAAAAAAATATTTTTTCAGGAGTTTTTCTTCCCAAAGTAGGTTTTCAACTCACACTGATTTGACAGATGAATGAAAAGAAATTAAAGAGTCATTTGTATAAAAATGAGCAAAGTTAACAATTGAGATAATGATCACTACCCTGTAGTGATCCTGTAGAAATAAAGATTTGCAGGGTGGGAAGAAGTGGGTGTAGTCCAATAAAGCAATGCAGTAATGATGAAAAATTGAAAGAGGTCAGAGTCGGAAAGCTTTTGATTTCTTTTTGCACTGGCATTTGTCAAGGCAAGCAAAATCCATTAGCAAGGAGCAGCCTGAGTTTTAACACATCTGGGTCTTTAAAAATGTTAATGTTTAATGGGGTGTGCTCAGGCTTTATATATCCCTGATAACAATGCATGGCTGATAGGCATCTCAGGCAGCTGTAAAGCAGTGGCTGAGCCTTGCAAGGCACACAAGCAGTTGGTGTTCACTCTCATGGTTTATGATGTTATCAGCAGTCATTGACTGAATTACGGCCTTATAACAACTCTTTCCCTGCATTATCCTGCAGTTACTGTAGCTCTGTTAACCTGTGTCCCATTAGAAAGTGATGTGACCTTCTCCAGATGAGCACACAGGAGTTACTGTGGTGTTTAAGTGCAGGCTCACTTTCCAGGAGGAACTGATGAAGTCCCCTGAGCTGTGCCCACCAAGTCTGCTCACCTGAAGGTGGTTCTGCCTCAGGCTGGTAGAAAGACAAAAAGCTGGGAGTGGCGTTTTCCCCCAGTCCTGTGTGGGAGCCTCACCTGTGAGCCTGTGGCTGTGTTCAGGATTGCACACTGGAAGCCCAGGGATGTGAGGAAGAAATGGGAGTGAGAGCATCACACTGGCTTTATTTTGAAACTGCAAAGATTCCCTCCCTCTGGGGAGCTCATCCATCATTTCTCACAGGGAGTTATCCCAGCAGGCTGCAAGTCCATGGGCTCTCTACTTGAGAAAAGGTCTCACCCTGTATTGTCACCACAGACTGAAGTCCTAGGGAAGGTGCTTTTGCTGGCTCTGGCAGCAGCCAGCTCTACTCCAACAGAGCCCTATGTAAACAGCAACAGATTTCCTCCTTTAGTACCCAACTGGCCTCCCACAGGGGTTTTTCCCTCCCTCTTACTGCACATTCTAAAGTCTCAGGAGTCCCAGTAGTCACACCATTTGCTCAGAGAAGAATCTGGTAGAACAGGATATTCTTGGAAATGTCTGGGAGAGGAGGGTACAGACCAAGACCTCATAGCTCTGCAGAAAATCTTGAGACGGACGTGACCATCCATTGCCCTCCTTTCTTTGCCCACTCTGCCTGGTCCTCTTCTGCACAGGAAAGTTCCCCCTTGTGAAAAACTCCACTCCTGTAACAAGCCTTGGAGAGCAGGCAGACGTGCAGGCACCTTTTTCATGTCAATCTAGTTAGAGTTTATTGATTCCCCTTGCCTTTGGCTAATGTACTTTTATTATTATTAATAAATAATCATCATTTTTCCATCAGTGTAGCCTGCACCCAGGAGCCTTGGAGAATTCTAGCAAAAGAGTTATTAAACTAAAGATTTCTAAAGGGTTGAACAGCAGCACAGCCCAGTAATCTGCCAGAATCTGCAACTGGGGAGTAAAATATCCCCACTGGAGATTATGGGATAGAGCATCAAATCAGCTCCTTCCCCCAGAGCCACCGTTTCTACAAGTGGCTTCCTGTTCTTGGTCACTTCTGCTTTCCCCTAAGGATGCAGAGGGTGGGGGTGGCTCTTGGAGCTGTCACCTGGGCAGGTGGGCTCTTGCAGGACCCTGCCCTGGCTTGGGACATGACTCAGTACCTGCAGGGCCAGAACTGCTGCCATGTGCTCCTCCTGGCTGGCTCCTCCTTGGCAGCAGCTGCCCAGGCAGCCTCCATCCTCTGCCTGGCCAGCTGCAGAGTCTGATCCTGGCTCCTCCCAAGTTCCAAGGATTCAGGATCTCTTTCCCAATCTAGGCAGGGTTGCCTGCAGGGGACGTTTCTCACAGAGGATTGCAGGCAGCTGTTCAAAAAGAGAGAGAATCATCACCAATTGCTGAGCCAGGCATGGCCATCCAGACACAGTTCTCTGAGCAGTAAACTGCCAAATAGTGACTGAGGTGGTTTCAGCATTTTGGAATTTCTGGTAGGGGATGTTTGGGACAAAGACAATAACAATGCTAGCAATAAAAGCACTGATTTGCTCAAGGAGGTATTTTACTGGGGTGGCAGGAAAGCAAAAAGAATCAGAGCTGTCACCTGTAAATAGATCTGCTCCTGCCAGCAATCTTGAGTTAACACATCCTCATGCAACCACCATTCCAGCCTCTCCGTGGTCAGTCTTGTCCTCCCTGAGGCCTTGCTTGCCAGGTGCACCCTGGGCCATGCATTATTGTGGGCTTTCCCTCCTGTGTCCTGTTTCCTTCATTACATCACCAGTGGTCCAGCTGAGTCCTGTGACCTGGCACAGTGACAGCAGTCCAGCATGGGTCTTGTCCTTGAGTTCTGACCCTGAAATCACATGGAGAACAACACACCCATAACACAGATCTTCACTGGAAAACAAACACCTCGTCCCAGTGTTGTGGATGAAATAAGAGCTCCAGATTATGATAATCCATGGTTCAGAATAAAAGAGGGTGTTTTATTTGGCAGGAAAATGGAGTACATCTGGTCTAAGTGGACATAAACAAGTCTGCAGAGCCTTTTACTCTGTGTAAAGCCACTTCCCCAGAAGGTGTGTTCAGGCAAGGACAGCAGGGCTATAAAGGGACCCCAAGATGCTCAAACCCTCACCTGGCTTTGGACATGGCCGTGCAGAGTTTCCTGCAGTACGTGGGCTCCAGCTCGCTGCTCTGTCTGGCAGCAGGGCTGTTTGCTCTCCTTTACTTTCTCTCCAGCTCCAAGAAGTCAGTTTGCAATCTGCCCCCTGGGCCACGACCCCTTCCTCTGATCGGGAACCTGAACGTGGTGGACCTGAAGAAGCCATTCCAGTCGCTGACAGAGGTAGGGGCTGAGCCAGCAGGCAGGGGCAAACATGCAATTCCTGAAATGAGAAATGCAGCTGGGGAAACAGAGATGTGGTTGTGTTTGTTTTGTGTGGAGGGCAGCAATGAGATGTGTGGCACATGGGCAGGCTGGCAGAATGACTTGACCTTCAGAGGTGCACACACACACACTTGTATTTCTATATATGAATACACACACTCTTTATACACACTCAAGCCTAGACCACCCATCCCTTGCAATCCACTCCAAATTGTTCGTGTTTTGAGCCCTTCAGAGGCTGCAGGTAAAAGACTTGAGTTGGGCCAGGCTGCTGCCATCAAGAGATGTCTCACTGCCACCAGACCTCTAGGAAGGATGGATGGATGGAAGGGATGAAGCAAGAAAATATATCATCCCCACAGCAGAGGTAAAGGGGATGTCCTATGCACACCTTTTCCCAAAACTTATTGTATCTCTGCAATGCAAAGCACAACTCTGCCTCCCCAGCCCTCCCCCTGCACACACTGCCCAGGGTGGTTGAGGACTTGATGCATGGATTTTATATGTCTAGCTAAACAAATTGCATTTTCTTACACAGCTCCATGGTTACTTACATTTCTATAAGAGAAGAAAAAAAAATTTAAATTTTAAAAAGCCAGGAGCAATGTTTGTTTCAGAAAGTGTCTGCTGTATTCCAGTAGGGACCTGGGGACAATTCAGTGGGAATTCAGATTTTATCTGGTTGCTGTAGAGACAGTTGAGGTGCTGTGAGGGACCTGTCACATGTCCTGTGTGTGTGCTGCTTACTGGACACTATGGTGGGGGAAAGCTGGTCCCCAGAGAGCTCCTTCATCCACTTGAACACCTGCAGTGAGAGGGCAGTGCAGACATTGCAATCCTCCAGTTATCTGTAGAAGAAAGGCCATCCTGTGTTGCCAAAGAACAGAATTCCTACAGCAGGTACACAGTGCTCATCTGCCTTGATTTATGGGGCAGAGGATTGTGTAGAGATCAGTTCTGATGGACTTCTGGTCCTGAGCTCCCCTCTGATTCTGGGTATGTTTGAGGATGTTGGTATGAAAATATTTATGAAGTATTTTTGGCAGTACTGGGGGATTTTATGGTACAAACGTCACATGACAGAACCAGACTAATTTCCTATAATCTACCAAGAAGCTTTATTTGGGCTTTCAGGCCTGCCACATCCAATACTTGTGCTCCTGAGTAAAACCAGAGTGGATGCCAAGAAGCACTAATGCAAGGAGATGGCCAAAGGAAGGCTCGGAGGCAGCTGTGATTCCCTGCCCCTGGGCCTGCCACACTCTCTGTGAGCTGCCAGGGATGAAAGAACCAGTGTTAATGTTATCTCCCAAGCTGTCAAACCACTGTTTGATGAAAACAAATTCAATTTGTCTGGCGTAATAACAGGAGCTGCTTCTAATCTGAAATTCAATTTGTGGAATCTATCTAATGCATAGAAAATGGTAACCCAGGCATACCAGAAACAAGAAGACATTTGGAGTGGATGGCTTGCAGCGTGTTTAAAAGAAGCCTAAAATACCAATGAACGATTATCTTGTGAAAGCCACCTTTCAGGATAAAAGATGATTCATTTTTAATTTGCTATAAAAGCCTAACACTCCTGTGACATTATCTACCAGAATATGCTTCCTAGTTGGCTTCAAGTTTCTGGTGGCCAGCAAATAATTCTGTGATGACTGCAACACTACCCACCTTGCTGTAATTAGAGACAAGTGCTGTCCTGAAAGAAAGAGTTATTGTCTGGGTTTGTTTTTGCAGTGTTTGTGGCTCCAGCCTCAAAGGTGTGTGCACACCCGCTTGCCTCAGGTCAGCAGCACTACAATAAACAGGTCTGCCTCCTCCAGCATTCTCTAACCAGCCTCCCAAGGTGGTATTGCTGGCCTGTTCCTGCAGAACACCACAGGAATGCAATGGCACTTTATTGACTGCCCTGATAGGAGCAGCGATAGCAGACACCTTGTTGTGCAAACAGGGTGCAAGCAGAGATGCTGGCAATCGATAGCTGTTGCTCACTGCCTGAATTACAGCAGCACCTGGAGACATCAGGCAGGGCTGGGAGGCTCCTTTTGGTCTAGAAATCACCTAGAGTGGCCAGTACTAGTGTTTGAGTCCACATTTTGAATGAACATTTCTATTCACCTTGACAGCTCTCCAAGATATATGGCAACGTCTTCACGGTGCATTTTGGACCCAGGAAGGTCGTGGTACTCGCTGGATATGAAACCATCAAGGATGCCCTTTCAAATCATGCTGAAGAGTTTGGAGAGAGGGCAGAAATACCCATATTCAGGAAAATGACACAAGGAAATGGTAATTGGCCTTTTACTTGGATAAATGTTGTCTCTGTTCATCATATTCTCACAGCAGAGAGTACTATCCTCTTACAGATCATTTTTTGTGATCTTAGGAAGTACTGGTTTTAAGAATGTTTATGAACCACAGGTGCCAGAAGGATGTTACATGTTTATTTTAGGCATAGCATTCAGCCATGGAGACCTATGGAAAACTATGAGAAGATTTACCTTGTCCACACTGCGAGATTTTGGAATGGGAAAGAGAACCCTTGAGATCCGAATCCTGGAGGAAGTAAATTCCCTTATCAAATATTTTGAATCCTATCATGGTGAGTGTCAAGTCTTTCCTCCAGAGACAGAGAACAGGTCTAGCAGAACAATAAAGATTAATGAAAGTTTAACTCTGAGCAAATGGTATCTCATGGTTAAAGTTCAGCATAGAGTGCAGTAGGTTATTGAACCAAGGCCTTAAAACACTGAAACAGAATTCCCTGCTATGAATTCTGGGTGGGTAATGAGTTTTCTTTGGGACCTCAGGACTACATTTCCATAGGAAACCAGACTGAAATGAGCATAGTCATTTTGTCATTTGTTTTCATTGCTTGAAATACAGGGAAACCATTTGATACAAAAATGATAATCAACAATGCTGTATCCAATGTCATCTGCTCTATATTGTTTGGAGAGAGGTTTGAATATGATGATCCAGTATTTCTAACTTTGCTGAAGCTGATAAATCAAAATACTAAGCTATTGGGCTCCCCTATGGTGCAGGTAAGAGCTTAATTTTATGTTTCAGCTGCTAGGTTTTTTTGAGCTAAACAGTTCCCAGCATTTGTTCTCCTGGCCTCCCACATATTTCTTCTTTAGAATAAGAACATTATCAGCCAGTCATCCTGTACAGAACACATCTGTGGTTATGTACCTGCAATGCACTGATTCCCAGGCTCCTGCACTTATGCTGTGAAGCTTATTAGTAAAAGAAAAAGAACCCCAAAGTCTTCACAAAAGGAGCAGCTTTACCCTCTTTGAAGAGCAGCACAATCCCAAACCTGCCTCCTTGAATTACAGAAAGAACACTCTATTTCTGCAGGAATGTAGAGCTCCTTAGACTGCAGAACAAGGGGAATTACAGCCTCAAATGCCAGGGCATAGAACAAGGGACCAGCAGTGTGATTTGAGATACCAGTAAGTGTTCAAAAATGCCAATTAACATTAACTCTCTTGCTCCACAGTTATATAACTTCTATCCATCCCTTGGATTTCTGTCTGGAGCTTCCAAGACTGTGCTACAAAATATCAGTGAATTGAATGCTTTTCTCCAGAAGCTCTTCCAGGAACACCAAGAGGAGCTTAATGAAAATGACTTAACAGGCTTTGTTGATGCCTTTCTGGTGAAGCAAAAACAGGTACTTCAAAGCTGAGTCCCAGTGTCTTTCTGTTCCCTTAGCTCTGAATTATTCTTAGGACTGGCCATCTGTCAGGGACTGGGAGTGAGTGGAAACAGAAGAACTGCAGTGAGCAGAATATATCAAAGCTCATACTCACACTGAGCTGTGCTGGATTCACTCATGGCCCCACTGGAACTGCTGGTTAAAGAAATTTAGTTGTTGAGACATCCACGAGGATGAAGTAAGTTCCCACTCAGCACACATAAAGAGGAGCTCATCCCAAACCTCCCTGCAAGAATGGTACAGTGATAAGCTGTGTTGCAGTAAATAAATTCCAATTTATTTGAATTATTTCTAATATCTAGACGTAGAGACTACACGTATGCTTGGGACCAGACAAATTCCACACAGCATAGGCCCTAATGCTAAAAGAATAAATGTTTAGTTTTCTAGCACATATAAAGTCACAGAAAGCTAAAATGCAGATAAAAATGGTGGCAACACAGTCACATATGGGTATCACTTGCTGTATTACCCACATGTTTTGAAGGAGTCAAAGAAACCACACACTGCATTCAGCAATGGAAACCTGATGTTTTCAACCCTGGACCTCTTTGCTGCTGGGACTGAGACTACATCCACAACTGTGCGCTGGGGGCTGCTTCTGATGATGAAATACCCAGAAATTCAGAGTAAGGAGGACAAGTCTCTTGTACAATTTATTGTTGCATGCTTAAGGCTTTGGTTGTGGAAGGGAGTGGAACTCATTCAGTGTTGCCTAGAGTAATTATTCTGAGTGCACTGAGAGAGATAACAAGCGTTGACTTTTCAAAGGAATTTTATTCAGCTGAATTGCAATAAACCAGCCCAGCCAAGTGGGAGAGGCTAAGGGACAGCCTACAGTCACAGTAAAGCTCCCTCATCATTATTTACCTGCAGGCTATGGGCTTACGTCACTAAAGGTCTCCTCAGGAGCTAATTCTGATCTGGTTTCTGTTGAAGGTTATGGGGTAACAAAGGTGTGTAATGAGAGCCAGGCATGAGATGGACTGTAGTGACTCCATTCAAGCTGCCTTAGCTCAACAGTAAACCTGGAAGAACCACACCATGCCCTGATTTATCCACTTCTGCCTTTCCCAGATATTTACAGTTTTCCCTCCTCTTCATCTCTGCCAAACTGGTAGCCATTTCAGTTGCAAGATGAGATTGTTATCAGCTTCTTAATCCTTTCCTCCCTCCAAGGAAAGATTCAGGAAGAAATGAACCATGTCATCGAACCAGGAGAGCTGCCCAGGTTGGAGGACCGGAAAAAAATGCCTTATACAGAAGCAGTAATACACGAAATACAAAGGTTTGCCAATATTGTCCCCATGGGCGTATCACGATCCACTCCCAGCGATGTGAATTTCCGAGGCTATGTGATTCCTAAGGTGAGCTCTGAGGCTGGCAGCTTATGCTGCACAGATTCCTCACAGTTTTCTTTAAAGCAGATGAAGAAATGCATAAATAACTAAAGACATATTGATGCATGGTTTAATCTGTGCTGTGACCCTTTGTCTTGGATCTAGGATAATTACTATAAACATACAATAGATTGTGGTCTGGTACAGTTGTTTGAATCATGATTAACCAAAGATTTAATTAAATCACACTGGTTTGAATCTTTTATGTCAAATGTGGAACCTCTACCCCAGCACCTTTGTTGAAAGATCTGACTCTGTAAGAAAGGAATGTTTTGTGGTCCAAAAATTAGAACAGCAGTTATTGAGAACAGACAGAGCCACGATGGGGCAGAGAAACATTCCCCAGTTCTATTCATGTCTTATTTGCCTCTTCACATTAGGAAAAATAGCTCAGTCTTGCTCAAGTAAGGGAGTGATCTCTTCCATGAATTTCTTTGATCCCTTTCAGGGTACTGAGATTATCCCACTGCTGACCTCTGCTCTGAATGACGAGTTACACTGGAAAACCCCAGATCAGTTCAACCCTTCCCATTTCCTGGATGCCAATGGGAACTTCATTAGGAGAGAAGCATTTATTCCATTCTCCATAGGTAAGAGGGGCAGGAGTGCAAAGCTAATGGCAATTCCCCCTGCTTTCAGGAAAGTATGAAAGCCAGGGACACAGAACAGAGGGTAAGGGATTTCTGGTCATTTCTCCTATCCACCATTGCTGTAGGTAACAACATCTTCTTTGGGATAGACGGGAGAAATGTATTTACTCACAGTCACTGAACAATTTCACCTATCTACAGACTTCTGTGTAGTTTGAGACCAAACCAGTAGCACTTCTATTATATAGGGAGAAGGAAGGGAAAATTTCCTACCTAAGCAGCCTGCTCTTTCAGACTGCACCTCCAGGTTAGAATGTCTCAGACATCAACACTAACAGCTACAGTGCTGATCATTAACTTCTCCCCTGGTTGTTTTCAGGACGAAGGGCTTGCCTTGGGGAAGGACTGGCCAAAATGGAGCTGTTCCTCTTCTTTTCGGGCTTGCTCCGAAAATTTGTTTTCCATCCCCCTCCAGGAGTGGATAAGTCAGACCTGGATCTCACTGCTGATGTTGGCTTTACCTTGACTCCCATGCCTCACCTGGTTTGCGCTGTGCCCTGTGAATGATCAAACAACACAGCATTAGAGTAGTGAACACTTCAAGCTTTAAATCAAATCTAGCTACAGTTGGGAAAAGCTGTCCCTGAGCTTTAGGGGAAGGAAGACATCAGGCACTGTTATTTTCTCTCATTCATGACATTCCCTCCAACAGCTCTTGCAATGTCTGTATAATGCAAACCCTTTGGACAGCTCTGAGTTGTGCTCTCAGAAACTCTGATTCATTCCTGGAACAGCACATCAGAGATGCTGTTTTCAGGACAGTTTGAAAGAGTGAAATGCCTTCAGACCTCCTCTATAGATAAAACCCATTAGAGCTCTCCCCTGACAACCTCTATGGGGAATTTCTCAGCCCAAAGTCCAAGCTCTATAGCAGAGCTGATTATCAATAGCCCAGCTGGAGACAAGAGACACTCAAAGGATCTGGAAATCTCCTCAGGATGGTTGTTCAGCTGAGCCTCAGACTGAGCTTCCATTGTGCGATACAACCTGCCTTATCTTTATTACACAGTCCCAGACACAAGGGTGTAACATGGGCTAATGCCAAGACCCAGGCAGGACAGCTATCAGGAAACATCTAAGTGGTTTGGGAAGTGGGTTCTTTCCAACTCACACCAGGCACTTCATGCTGAACAGCCCGTTTATGATGGGGCCAATTGAGCAGCTTTCCGCTTCTGTTAAGAAAGGCATTTCTACCACTCCCTCACCTCTCCTGGCTTCATGCTGGCTCTGGCACCTGTCCAATCCCTTACTGGGCCATCTTAGATCCCTAAACTGGCAGAAAATGAGCAGCCATGGCAAGGGAAGAGTTTCTGAATCAGTGTGGCTGAAGCAATAGCAGTGTGAGAGCAGTGGAGCTGGGGCTGGGCAGCAGCACTGCCACATCAGCCAGAGAGCTGGGACAGGCTCAGCCCCTGCTCCACCGGCACCTCAGCAGCTGGACTTGCTCTGTAGACCTTCTCTACCCTTCACAGAGAGAAAGGATCCTTCAGGGGATGAATCAGCTCCCATAAGGTTGATTCATTTCTCATTCTCTGCACTGACTGCAGGGTGAACCATCATCTACAGGCTCCTGATTCCAAACTTCAGTCTCAATTACCAGGTGTGTTGTGATGATTAGGCACAGTATTGTCCATTCAACTGAAAATGGGGCAGTTATGGTAAACCTACAGCATAAAACGAAAGTTACTGTCATCTAAAGCTGAGCTGTGCTGCAAATGGAAGGAAAAAAAGGAGACGGAATATGAAGGGATGACAAAATACGGCGGCCTCTGGCCAAGGCACTGACTCTCCTCACTAGCTTTAGTTCACACGACTAAAGGCAGCTCTCTAATAGTGATTCTGCACCTTCTACTTGCACTTGGGCAGGGGCTGTGCCACAGGCCCAGCTCCAGCTCCTGGGCACAGCTCAGGGAGTCTCAGCAAGCCCTGTGACAAGGAAGCCTCTGCTGCGCTTGCTTGCGTTTGTTTTGCTGTTGCTCTATTTGCAGTCTAACTGCTGCAAGCCTGACCTTATCACTTACTTAATCATTAAATATTTTGTTCTGTTGCTGTTGATCTATCTGGTGTGACAGTATGAAGTTGATTTCAGGTCAAACTGATAAAGCTGGGCTGCACCACTTTCAATATCTCTGCACGAGAGAGGTGAGCACAGAGATCCGTGGGCAGCCTGCAGCCACAACATGTTCAGCAGCACTAAGAGTGAGCAATACTCACAGCCACAAACACCTCAGTGGAAACAGCTGGATTTCTCACTCCAGAAAATCACAACTGCTATGTGAGGCAGAATGTGGCTCTGCAAGGCTCTCTGATGTGGCCTGTTCCAGTGGCTCCTGTGTCTCTTGCCCTTGCTTACAAAGCACCCATCACAGTAAAAGCCAGCAGGAGTTATCTGAGGCTGCACTGCTGGTCAAGAATGGGACTGGCAGGGAAGGTGCAGAGATTTTGGGGGATTTAAGTTAAAGGCTACGGGGCTGGTGTTTGAGTGGCCCAGCCTGGCTGACTGGCAGTGGTGTGGTTGCCTTTGGGTGGCTGATACCCAAATGCTCCACATCCTCACGAGTACCACCTGGGTCACAAGCCATGGCAGAATGCCATGTGGGCACAAGGGATGGAGGACAACTGGGCAGCACGAGCACCCTGAAGGGCCTGGCTGCCCCAGGAATGCACCCAGAGCAGTGTCAGTGCCTGGCAGGTGTTTTGTGTTCACTCTGTGTGCTCAGGCAGGGCAGCACGTAGCAGCGGCTCCGGCGCGAAACGCGTAACACGTACCAGACACATTAGTGAGACAGGAATTTCTTGTCATAGAAAGACTTTAACTTACCTTTGTCATTTTAATGTATTGCACTCAGAGCCTGGCTTGAAAAAAAAAAAACAATACGCTCCCCCTGGCTTTTCAGAGATGATTTCTTTCTGAAAGGCCTTTTTATGAGTTCAGGGGCTCCCAGGGCAAGGATGAAATACCAGGAGAGCAGCAGCAACACGTAACTTTTGCCCCACAGGGTGCTGCTGGTCCAAGAAAACCCTACAGGAACAAACATTTTGCCCAGGCACAGAGCATGTGCAATTGCAAGTTCTCATCACAATGCCCACGTTCTGCACCCTGTGCCAGCCACGATCCTTCCTGCCTGTCTTTACAGCCCCTCTGCCTCTTAGCTCATGGAGCAGGCAGGGTTGAGTCATGCTAGGCATGCTCTGGGGGAAACCGTTGCCTCCAGCCCATTTCTTGGAAACTAATAAAAAAATAAATCCCCGAAATATTGCGACACACTTGCTGCTTCTGCTTCTGGGTGGCTGTTGTGCTGCAACATCTCCACACGACACAGGCAGCCCTGGTGAGTGCCAGCAGCCATTTGCTCCAGGACCCTGCTGACCATGCCCCACTCTGCATCAGCTCTCCTCTTTCCTTGCCTTCTTTGCATTTACAAGGCTGAGGGCCCATATTTGGTGAATAATGGCCTTTATATGATCTAACCTTTGGACAAATCTACCTTTAGCCTTGAGCTTCCTCATCATGTAAGACAGCCCTTTCTTCCCTGAATGATTTTATTTCTTTGGCTGGTTATGCCAAACTTCCTCCTGAAAACCACTACTCATCCAGGTAGACCTCAATTATTTTCTACAAGGCTTAAGCCCTTATGAGGGATACAAGCTCCAGGTGTTTAGTATCTTTGACTTAAAATCATTCCATTCTCCTGTCTTGTCCCCCGTTTGGAACCTGCCAGGTCAGCTGGCTTCATTAACTTCTTCCCTCTATCCCTTAGAAGCTGCTCTTGCAAAATTAAATCCTCCCAGAAGTTTCAAATCTAATTTTGTCTTTCCATTGCACTCATGAATCCACTCATGATCACTTGATCCAAGCTAATTTTCTGTGGCTAGCTATTACATGTCTTCTACCTCAGACACAAAGTCTGAAATCACAGCCCTCCCGGGCACTTCAGAGCTGACTTTATGAAGAAGTTTATGGGCTACAACCCCCTCAGGGATAGTTGGGCTTTACCATTATTAACAACCTTTGATCTCCACTTGACATCAAGAAAGCCACAGTCTCCTGTAACAATACCGATTTTTCTCTCTAGTAACAGGGATATCTCAATCCTAGCTAAACCTGAATCTGGAGATTCTAACAGGATTCCAAGAGCCTTTTTATTTCCCTGTGTCAGCAGAGTGCTTGGAGGGTCATAGTACTGCTAATGAAGGACCTTGAGGTCTCAGGGAGGAGGAGGTTATAGAGGAATGCCAAGCACCTTTTCCCATGTGTATGTTCTTGCACACACATGCATGGGTTTGTAATTTGAAACTCTCTTTACTTCTGGACAGGCTTTGCAAACTGCTTAGACCACATTCTCTGAGGTGTTTAAAGAGGGTGGAGTATGCAGTATTTATTTAGGTACTCTACAAACCTTAATAAGAATTGAGTGCTTGTAGCAATTGCAGAGAGCAAACAGAAAGCCAGCTGGCAGAAACTGAACAGTGCCACTGCATTTTTATTGCTTCTAACCCCAAAAAACAAATTATTACTTAAAAAAATGTCTTTTTTAATTTCATTTCTCTCTGATCCTGCATTAGTTTGTCTGCTGTGTGCAGCAGTATTATTAGCTGTAGCCTATTTTTCAACTGGCTATAAAAATTCAGCTTTTAAATTACCTCCTGGTCCAACTCCTCTTCCGATCATTGGTAACCTGCACTTGGTGGATCTTAGAAGGCAAGATAAATCACTGATGAAGGTAGGACAAAAAAACCCTAACCCAGACCCTCATAGATTTTAACGCTGCCTGGGATGTATCAGTGAGAACTTTTTGTCTTTTTTAATTCAAACTAAATTGTAAAGGTGTGAAAATTGCTTTAGAGTATCATTCTGGGCTTCTTCTAGTCAATGTCTGTGTTGATGCAATGTAATTTAGGAGCAATCAAGCATTAAAAAAAGACCTCTGGGTAATATGGGATTTCTTCATGTAATTGTGATGATGTACATGAAGTCTATAATGCTTGTGGGATTTGAAATATTAATTTGACAGTTTGGACACCCAGAAATCTTTTAAAGCATGAGGATATAACTAACATGAATTAAATTGCTTCCCTCCCCTATGCCCGGGAGATCTGGCAAGAGGAATTCCACAATGTAGTGACCCCAAAACTGCCACGGAGAGGGCCAGACCCAGGTGCTCCGTTGCAAAATCCCTTTCCCTCCTGATGAATGGGATAGGCACTAAAGTCTAGATGGCAGTGCAAGGGAGGGATGGGAAAGCTGTGCTAAGGAACAGAGTGAATAACCTGGGAGCTCTTCCACTAAGCTCTAATTAAGACAACTTACCCCACTGATGGTGGTGAACTGTCCCTGTGTGCAGGACGAGGCTGCTCCTGGGGCATTTGGGGTGGTGTTCCGCTGGATTTTGGGGATGGCTCCCTCAGGGCTGACCCACGCTGGGGTCACAGAGAGAGTGAGCAAACAGGCAGGGGGGGTCACAGCCAGGTGTCCACGGCTCCTGTGACAGCAGGGCTCAGCAAATACTGTGTGCTGGGGCTTGCTGCTGCCATGGGGTGAGGCTCCAGCACCTGGAGCTGTTACAATGTCAGGGTTGGGGTCAGTTTACCCAGCAGGGCTGGGCAGACACTGCTGCAGCCTCTGAAGGTGCTTTGGAATTACCTCCGTGTGCTTTTGTCCCTTGCTGGGCTCTGTGTGGTATTGCCAATGTTTGCCTTTGCTTTGGGATTACTCCAGGGGGGTTATCCCTCCATCTCACCCCACGGAGAGCAAAAAATGGTGTTTGCACCGGGCAGCTGGTACTGAGTGGGGTTTGTTGGGTGGGCACAGATGGGTGCTCCCTTTGTCCTGTGAGAGAGACACTGCTCCTCTGCTCTTGTAGCAGGATGCAGGAGTGCTTTAGTACATCAGGAACATCAGACCAAAGCTTTCCACTGTGACAGCATCAGTAGTTGCACTGAACTATCTTCTCTTTTTTGGTCTTTCTCTAGTTTGCCAACTTTAGCTGCCATTTGAGGTCCAGTCTTTAGGTGGGTTTTTTTTGTTTTCCATTTATTTTCTCCTTAACAGCAAAACCAGATTAGTGATGCACTGATGGGGGTAGGGGCTCCTTCATGCCAAGAAGGTCGAATTCCATAGAGATGCCAGTGAGGCATCTGTACAAAATGCCTCATGTTTGACTGTGATGAGCTCTGGCTCGCAGGTGCCCTTCTGCAGGTAGTGGCTCTGCAGCCATTCCCAGCAGGATGCCAGGATGAAAAATGTCCTTTCAGACACCAAGAGGTGCTGTTCCATGCACTCTCCTTCCCTTCGTGACCATCACAGCTCTCCTCTTTCTTCAGCTTGCAGAAAAATACGGCCCCATCTTCACCCTCCACTTTGGGTTCCAGAAAGTTGTGGTCCTGACCGGGTACGAAGTTGTGCGAGAGGCGCTTGTGAACTACACAGAGGAGTTTGTAGACAGACCATCCATCCCAATATTTGACCAAATTCAGAATGGAAACGGTACTAGAGAATGAGGGGGGAGGTGGGAGGGACGACGTTGTCTCTTAGTGCCCATGATGATGATGATGATGATGATGATGATGATGATGATGATGATGATGATGATGAGGCACAGCTTAACCGTGCATCCTTGGAGCCCAGCTTTTAAACATCCCCTTGGGCCCTTCTGAAGACAAGGGACAGCAAACATTTGGTTTTCCTTGCACACAATGAGTCCTGGCTTTCCATCATTTCTGCTGATGCACTTGCAGCCCATCCATATCCAAAAAGTTGAGGGGTGGGAGGAGTGGGATTTTTGAAGGCAGTGTGGTAATTCTGGGGTTAATCTCTGTGAGATGTCGCTGTCACCACCGCATTTATAAACCCTCTGCACGTTTCCAGGAGACTTTGGACTACCTGGCTTGGCTGTTGGGAGCTGTTGGGTTTTTCCCTTTCTCCCACTGCCTTTGTTGTGTTAGTTCCCACACCTCTACCTCCCCACAAAAGTTCTCAGGTGGACCAACCTGAAAAAGGTTCAGGCAGAAGCAAGAGGCTGAGGATGGAAATTCACCCCCACAAACAATCCCACAGTTTTTCCAAGTTAACTTTCCACCCCTGACTATTTCAGAGGACTTTTCTTCATGTGAGGCTTTAGCTGGGAGAACCAAAAGGCAGCTTTATATTCCAGTCACAGGCTGAAATTGGGATTAGAATTAGAAATTAAATTACCCAGCCATAATATCAATAGATGAATTAATCGCTACATAAATAAAAGGAATCGATGAGGAGAAAGGTATTTTTCCGAGCTAATTTACATGTAAAACATCCCTGTGGGAGCCTGTCAGTATTGCATCGTAAGTCCTTTCACATTTACCTTCTCAGCACAACTCTGAGGCACTTAGAGGTGACCCAAAGATGGAAGGTCTCAGGGGCTATTAAGCAACAATAGTCACAAATTTTCCCATTAAACATTTTTTCTTCAGAAAAATGTCAATTTCTTTATTGTGCACATGCTCTCAGAAAAGGAATGATCTAGATGAAATTGCATAAATTAAAGAAAAATTAAAAACTGAAGTTTAGAAATTTGTTTTGACATTTTTAGAGCAAAAGATTTTGCTACCCAAATTAAAACTACACAGCTTTAAAAGAGAAAAGCAAACATATTTAAAAGCCTCACAGCCACGATGAAGATGTGAAGTGCTGGCATCCAGCTTTTCAACTGACCACAATCTGAGATAGTTTTTGGATTATTGACCGAACTTTTTCTTTACAGCACTCTGACAGGATGAAATACCCATTCCTTTCTTGGAGGTGCTAGAGATCATCGTGGCATGAGCTCAGAAACTTCCACAAAAATGTCAGTATTTTTGTCACTGCTGAAAATACAGCATGACTGGGAATCTCCATAAAACAGTTTAGGGTTGAGGAGACTGAATTATCCCACCCCACACAGATAAATTACCTTTATGACTAGAATAGGATCAAGGGAGAAGCTTCAGAGCCACAAAGTGCTTGATGCCCTAGACTTGCACCCTGCAGGGTCAAAAATGTCCCGTGACTGACTCAAATCAACACCCCCCAGCTCTACAGCCAACCCACACTGGTCTGAAAGCCACACCTGCCCATCTGCCACTCAGGAGGGGACTGGGGTAACTGAGCTGGGAGGGAGCTTGGGAGCTTTTCCCAAACCACAGGCTCAGTGAGAATGGAGCCGAGAGGATACAGGGATGAGGCACGCAGAGAGGGGGGAACCTTCAGTCCCTAAATCCATGTGAAAACAGGCAGCAGAAACGCCTGTGGAGCTGCTCACCAGTGCCCTGTTTGGTTTGGTGTGGGGGCTCCTCTGTGCCTGAGCCCAGCACGTTTCTCACGGGTTGCCCAGGTCTGTTCTTCTCCATCGGGGAGCTGTGGAGGACCACGCGCAGGTTCACCGTGTCCAGCATGCGCAACCTCGGCATGGGGAAGCAGATGATCGAAGGCAGGATCTTCGAGGAGCTCCACTTCCTCATCGACATGATCAAATCCTTCAAAGGTGAGCTGGGGACCATCCCAGGGCTGCCCAGCCTCGTGTGTGTCACAGCTGCTCCACGTCTCACAGCTTTCCCATCCTGCTCCCGCTGCAGGGGAGCCTTTCAGCCTGCCCTCCTTCAACTGCGCTCCCATCAACATCACCTTCATCATGCTCTTTGGGGACAGGTTTGACTACAAGGACCCAACATTTCTCACTCTCCTAAGACTCATAGATGAAGTTATGATTCTTCTGGGATCCCCAAATTTAAATGTAAGTAACCCGTCCCACAGATAAACAATTTTTTTACACTGGCTTGTGAGCCACACCAACTATAGAATTTACTTCAGCAATTTTCAAATGTTCAGAACCAGCCATTACACTTAAAACATGACAGTTCTCCACGTGCCACTTTGGTCACCAAAATGTGCTGCAAGATTCCCCTTGCCTACTTTCCTTTTGACCCATCCTGCCCATCTGTGTGGAGCTAAAATGAGAACTGAACTATGGTTACTTTAGCTTATTAAAATCTGCCCAGGAAGTCCCTGGGATGCTGAGATATTGCTACTAAAGACAAAACTCAACTGATACATTGGCCCTTAGGAAAAAGCTGTTTCAGCATGTGCCAAGGTGATTCTGTGTGATTCTGTATGGTATTTCTGCAGGCCTAATGCTTCTCTTTTTAAATTTCTCATCAGTATTTCAATTTCTACCCGTTCCTGGGATTTCTTTTCAAAACCCACAAGATTATGCTCAAGAAAATCGACGATGTACGTGCCATTTTAAGACAGTACATGAAGGCAAGCAGGGAGGATATCAATGAGAACAGTGTGAGGAGCTACATCGATGCCCTGATATTCAAGCAACAAGAGGTATTGGACTGCTTAGCTCTGTTGGCTGTTTGCAAAGTCTCTTTTGCATTTTCTAGCTAAAAGAGTTGCTGAGTCTTGATTTCAGTCGTGCCATGTAAATCTAATGAAATCCATGCTCTTACTCCAGTGGTATTTAAATCAGATGCCAGCCTCTTACAATTGGTACGTTTTTCTATCAAAATTAAGATACAAAAGCTACTCTCAATACACTCCTGAAATAGTAATAATGTGAGATCAACTACTCACTCTTAGTAGAAAATGCATGAATTCACATGAAAGCTGACTCTGCCTTTCTTTTTATGAAAACAAATCAATTAATCATTGATACTGTTGCTCCATCAAGATGAATGATCTCCTTAGAGTACTTGAATGACAAATCATCCGTACAAGTCCTAACCCTGCCCTGCATCTTACTTAGCAGAGGCTCGGCACTTTCACACATCAGTTGATTTCATTCAACACAAAATATTTGGGCTCTGAGCTTTTTCTTCTTTCCAGCTGGATGCAGGCTGACCTTAGGCATTAAGTACTCTACTCAGCTATGTGGAGGAGGAGTTAGCACTGCTCTAAAGTCCAGGTAGAAATGGCCTGAAAGGTGATTTTGAGCATTGCTGGGGATTCAAACGTGAGGAGCCCTTCAGAGTCTCTCAGAGGTAGGATTAGCTGAATCTGCTTCTGCTCAGGGCAGAGACCAGGTTCTCTCCAAACCTGCAAGGCTGAGTCTGTGAACAGCAGCTGGCTCTGGGTTTCAGCCTGCTTCCAGAGGAGATGGGTGTTGAACCAAAACTCCCCTCCAAGCCTTCCATCTGTGGTGCTCCATCTCTGGTGGATGCTGTGCATTCAAGATCAGGTCTATTTTATCACCCAGTTCACAAACACAAACCACAGCCAGATGTGCTGTAGGTTATGCAGCATTTCCCAAGCTTGCTGAATACTCAGAATGATGGTTTTATGACTTTTCTGACCTCTTGTGTTTTTCAAGGAGAAGAACAAGAAAGACAGCCTCTTCCATGATGACAACTTAATGGCATCCATACTTGACCTGGTCATGGCTGGAACAGAGACCATTGCCACCACGCTCCAGTGGTCCATCCTGCTCATGATGAAATACCCAGAGATTCAAAGTGAGCAGCTTTCACCTACTCCATCCATGGCAAAGGAATGGGGAAGGAAAAAGGCTGACCTCAGATCCAGAGCAGCTCTTTTTCCTTAAGAGCTGAATCCTAGCTCTCCTCTGTGATGAGCACCTAATGTAACTAGGTGCTGATCAAAGTCACAATAAAATAGTCCCTTTGACTTGCTAGGAGAGAGGATGAGTGGAGATCAGAGTATGATGCTGAGGAAACAAACTACCCACATGCCTGAATTAAACACAGAGCAGGCAAACCCACACACTGCCGCTTTCAGAATCCTCTCTCTCTTCAAACTTTGGAAAAATGATTTTTTTTCCCCCAAACCAAATCCAAGGAGGGAGTTGGCTTCCTTGCTGGGACACATCCCTTGTGTTTGTCCTTGCAGCAAAGGTTCAGGAGGAGATTGGGAGAACAGTCAAGGCTGGGAGCTGGGCCACGTACGAGGACAGGAAGAACATGCCCTACACCAACGCTGTGCTGCACGAGGTGCAGAGGTTCATCACCCTCCTGCCACACGTGCCTCGCTGCACTGCTGTTGACACCCACTTCAGGGGCTACTTCCTTCCCAAGGTGGGTATCTGCTCCCTCCAGGAATACCAAACCCTCCCCAGGTTCACCACTGCCACTGGAGAATGGTTTCTTTGGAGGAAATTACAGGACAGAGTCCAAAACCATCCCCAGAAGAGTTTCTGTATTGAGCCCAGAGTGTGTCATAGGACTCAATCCAGTCCCTCTCATGCTCAGGACTTCCTCACTCCATCAGTAGCCCTGGTTTACCTCCTTGCTGCCATCTGCACAGTGAAGTATCTGCCAGAGAATTTGCAGAATCTTACCTTCCTCTTGAGGTTTTCACAGCACCGTGTGGGGTTTGGCTTCAATCCTTGGCACTAGTGGGAAAATCTCACTGATGTCTCTCTGCTGGATGATGGGATAAAACCCTCATGGTCTCCACCTACCCCAGGTGGAGCAAATCTCCTGAGACACCAAAGTGTGTGAGAAAATGAACCAAAACAGCACTTAGCTATCTTTTGTGCCTTTGTGTACTTTTCTTCCAGGGTATAATTGTAATCCCATCCCTTACCTCAGTGCTGCTGGACAAGACACAATGGGAGACACCACATCAGTTCAACCCCAATCACTTTCTCGATGCTGAAGGGAATTTTGTAAAGAAAGGAGCTTTCCTGCCCTTCTCCACAGGTAACTAAAGGGCTGACCTGCACAGAGCTGGGGCTGTGGCAGGGCCATTTCATTACAATAAACACTAATGAGGTTTTCATGTCTAAATACTGCCCTTAACTCAGTAATAAGAAACCAGACAACTGAATGGGATAATTGTTCTGCATCTGGGCAAATGGCTGTTCTCAGAGCACAGCTCTGCCACTGCTAAATATAGCACAAAGAAGGGTAGTAAAGAAAAAACACACTCTTTTCTAAAAGTGGTATGTGAGGATAAATTCCACAGGAAGAGTGGGTTTCAAATTATTCCACTTTGGAAGGAGGTGGCATTTCAAAAGAAAGGGTTAAAGATGCTGAGAGGGTTGGAAGAGCTAAGGAGAGGAGAGGCCACACCATAAATGTGTAATAGCCCTGTAAGATAGCTACAGCCTGTGACAAAAGAGACCAGGCAGGAGCTTTGAGCAACACAGGCCCCTCTACTCCAAAATGCTTTAGTGCATTATTTCAAGGTTTCCTCCTGCTCCCGTTGCAATATCTCAGATGCTAATGTGCCCCTGGCAAACCTTCCAGCTGTCCTTTTCACGAGGTAAACTCTCTGCTCTCACCCACAGGGCGAAGGAACTGCATTGGAGAAAGCCTGGCCAAGATGGAGCTGTTTGTCTTCTTTGTAGGGCTGCTCCAAACATTCACTTTCCGACCCCAGCCAGGCGTTTCAGAGGCTGACTTGGACCTCACCGTCCCCCAAACGACTTTCACATTGAGACCTCAGCCTCAGGCAACCTGTGCTATCCTGAGGGAATAACCACAGCCTTGTCCCAGAGCTTTGGGGTCCAGGACCCCACCTTTGCTCAAAGTCGCCATCCCCCATCCTGCCACAGCACCACATCCCCTTCCCACTGTCTCCAGCCACTCTCCCTCCACTGCTCCATCCCCCAAGGGCTGCTCTTGGCTCCTGTGCTGTGGGGGAGATGCAAACACAAACCATGGTGCTGACAATCACACCCCACTTCTCAAGACAGACCGTGCATGGAGCTGCTGAAGGACCAAGCCCTGCTGGAAGGGATGCAGCCCAAGAGCAGTAGGGACAACACCCAGGCTCCCAAGGGTCACCATGTCACAAAAATCTGCCCAGAATCCTGAGGAAGAACAAGCCAGGGTTTGCTGGAACCCTCAGAAAGACACCATGGGTCACAGGCTTGAGCCATCCACAGACACCTCCTGAGCTTCTCCACAGCTCACAGCAAAATCCTACCAGGATTTCACCCACCAGGCAGCCAAGACAAACACCAAGAGTGGAAAAACTGATCGGTTCAAGTGATTTGAGGGCTATTTGATCATTTCTGCCTTGGAACAGTGTCCTGGAAGATGCCCCAGAGTCTGCAAACCTGTTCAGATAATCAGGTCTGCAACCAAGCTCAACCCTGCTCCCCAGCCAAAACAGGAGCTGCATTTCTAAGTTTGCAATTTAAATCATGAGGCCACATGAGATTTGAAGCAACATCCGGTCATAAAGGGCTAATGACACAGAAAAATAAACTACACCCACTGCTGGTTTTACACATCTCTGTCCTTCTTGACCTTGTTAAATATCAGCAAAGACTGTTCCCTCTCTTCAGATATCCTGGTTAATGTTAAGAGCCTACACATTGCCCTGATTTCACAGTGCTGGTTTGCACACACACACACACAGAGAATGGGGATCAGGGATTAAATGAGAGGTGGTTTTGGTTGGCTTCCTTTCCTCTGTAGTTCAGCCTGGCTGTTGTCTCTAGCTGCAGCACTCTTACATGCCATCATATTCCACAATATTCCTTATTCCAGCTGACATATAGCTGAGGCAATGTTCCATCCATTTATTTGCCTGTGACTTTCCACTCCTCCACATGCATTTTCTTACAATGTGCTTTATAATATTGTTTGTTTCCCCTTCATGGGAACCCAATAAAATTTTAATCCCATGTCCTCATTACATTTCCTATGCCTGGCACCCAACCCTGCAGCACACAGAAATGCAAACACCATGAAAGGTTGGTCTTGAGCCCAGAATGAACACAGATATAATGTTAGATATATCTCATGGGTCAGCATATGCTCATCCTAGTAAACACCAGCTCAACTGCAGACCCTCCATATCTGCAGGGTGGTTTCACCAGGGCAAATTCCTCAGCTATGGGCTGAGAGTCAGCCCTGGGGACAGCCTCACTTCTTCACTTCTGTGCCTCTTCCTCGCAGAGGCTGAATTAAAGGTTTCACCTCAGCCTCCCTGATGCTGGTGCTGGCCTTTGCTTTGGATGGGAAGGCAAGGAGAGACAGGTAAAGCAATTGGGGAGCAAACCACATGTTAACTCTGTGAAGGAAGTCTTGGTCTTGCTGAAATAAAATTAATAAATAAATAAATTTTAAAAAATAATAAAAAAATTTAAAAAGACATATGCCTTTGGCTTCAGAAAGGCCAGGACTGCTCCTATTTTAACACCCCCAAAAATAGTGTGAACTCAAAAGTTAGATAAGGCAGCAGTGTAGTGCTCTAGGGAACAGCACTGAGCTGGGCTCAGCTCTGCACGAATTCACTGATGGAACCTCAGACTTGCCCCCTTGCCATGAGCTCTTGGGTTCTTGGCTTTGAAGAAGAGAGATGGATTCCTTTCTCCACAGCACAGCAGCCTTCAGAACTCCCAGCATCCAAGGAAAACAGGTTCCTTTGATTCCTTTGAAAAATGCATCCTACTCATACCTGTGTCAGCAGATGGATAGAAGTGATCCCTCCCCAGCACACTGAATTACACAGCTGAATATATCTCCACAAAATAAAGTGCCTGTCTCCCATTTATTTGCTCAGCCAAGTGATGGCAGAACATTGATTATGACTCAGCTATCTATTTATCTAGCAGAAAACATTGGCTCTCAGAGGTGGAAATACCATTTCCACATTCCTCAGTGGCCCTGAGGGTCTTCCCTGTAGCTGCAAAACATGAAACCATGTTTGTGCCTTGCATCTCTCACCTGGATTGAAGGCAAACACCTTGGGGCAGGACAGGTGCCTTGATGTTTAGACTCAGATCTGAACATCACCAACTCACTTCGTGGCTCTGGCAGCTGTCCCACGGCCCAGCCAGCCACCCCAGGGCTGTGTGGTGCTGGGACCAGGGGCTCCTGCTCTCAGAGGGGCAAGGATTGCAAAAACTCCACCTGCAGCCCCTCTGCACCGGCCAGAGCCACGAGCATTGCACACAATCTAATTTCTACTTTATTTTTGCCACGAGATGGCACCACGATCCCTCTGAGTCACAGCCAGCCCAGCCCTGTGGTCCTCACTGGGCTAGAACGCCCTGCCAGCACTAATTCTGGCTGGGGAAGGAGTCAGAACTAAGTCTTTAGGGTTTATGCCCCGCTCAGTCCAACTCCACTCACCTGCTGCAAGGCTGGGTGCAAAGACACTCATTTCCCATTAACCTGGAATAATCAGGTGGTGTGCAGGGAATGGCTGGGGTTAAATTCATCTGGCATCTCCCGTTTTTCCCATTTTATCTGGCAGCACAGGGGTGAGCAGAGGGACCCCTGCCATTCCCTCTGCTGCAGCCCGTGTGGATGTTGCAAGAGTCTGGCCTGTCCACTCAGCATTCCTCCCTCTGGGCTGTGTCTGGCAGCCAGCTTCTTCCTCTGAAGAACCCATTCCTGGGCTTGCACCTGCCAACAAGACCCTTCACGAGTGAAGATACCCAGTTCATGGAATTCCTGACTAGTCCGTGATGTGGCCCTGACCCAGCAGGATGGTGGGAACCCAGAGGTGCAATAGAGTGCTCAGAAACCACATGGATACAGCCCTTGAGGACATGGCTTAGGGGTGAACAAGGTGGTGATGCTGGGTGGATGACCCGATTATCTTGAAGGTCTTTTCCAACCTCAACAGTTCTGTGATTAAGCTACAACAGTTGTTGGCTGTTCCCCAGGGATGAAGCAGAGGAAAGATGTGGGCCAGGCTCCCTTGCTGTCCAGCTGCTCCCTGCTTGTCCCCAGCAAGGCAGAGGCAATGTCCTGGTAGCTCCGAGGCAGCACTGTCCTGCAGGGCATGAACAGCAGACAGTGAAGAGAATAAGGAACAGACTCCAGGCTGTGAAAACTGAGCTACAGGAAAAGAGAAGTGTGCCTGACCCTGAAGTCACACTGGCATTGACTGGACTCAGAAGAGATGAGGGATTAGGGAACTGGCTCTTCCCCACCAAAACTCCTGTGCTGGAGGCTTGCTCAATATGGTGCTGTTTTGCTCACCAGTGTTCTGTGGATGTTCTGTGGATCACTGGTGTGCTGCATCCCCTTCCTCTGGAGAGCAGCAAGTGCCCTGGGGTGAAGCAGCCTTAAAAGGGGGGTGTCAGCTCAGGTGCACCAGGGAACTTGGGGCAGGAGAGTGACAAATCTCCACACCTCATGGATCACTGCGTTGGGAATTGCCATCTCAGAGGCAGGGAAGCAGCCAGGGCCAAGAACTCAGTCTCTGTGTTACCCTTTTCTGCAGGTAAAGGAAAGGCACAGTGAATCCATCTGTGATTCCAGCTCCTGCTGAGTGTTGGTTGGAATAGCCCAGGACGGGTCTGCAGCCCCTGTTGTAGAGAACAACCTCTCAGATGCTTTGATCTTGGATGGCAGCATTCAGTGCTTGGATGGAGGTGGACAGCATCCAAATTTTGGGTGCTCTGGCACACATGAGAGCCTATGGAGCTTTTACAGGTATCACTTACAAAGTCACTGCAGGATACTTCAGCACACTGTGTAAGCAAAGCAAAGCAAAACCTTATTTTGGATCTCAAGGTCCTTCAGCAGCAGCAGGATGGTCCCATTGCAATGCTGTGGATGTTGTTTGAGTGCCAGCAGGGCGAGCGCAGGAGCATCATGATCTGCACAGAGAAAACATGTATTGCTTTTATTAGGGATATATGAAGAAAAAAAAAACACTTCTGGCATAAAAAGAGAGAAGTAGGACAGGTAACCCAGGCTCCAGAAACATTAGAGTAAGATGCAGGCAAGTGACAAGTGACAAGTTGAATCATATTGACATTTCAGTACAGAATTTCTTCAGTTTTCAGAAGAAATATTTGCACACTTGAGACTTTGCCACTCCAAAATGAACCAATTGCACAAATTCATCCATTTTTCAACACCACATGGCATTTATCTGCCACAGGCAGTGGCAGCTCAGGGATTCCAACCACTACCTGTGGATCCTGAGAAGGCAGAAATTCGATGAGAGGTGCAGAACAATACCTAAGTGGAGGAGCTGGAATTTGTCTGTGTGTGTGTGTGTGTGTGTGTGTGTGTGTGTGCGCCAGGCACTCCTAGGAGCCACAGGAGAGCCATGAAGACTCAGGACAGCAGTGACACATCAGCTCCACTGTCCCTGCTTCCTGCTGCTGGTGGGAAACACTTTCCCTGGTCACACTGCCCGGCCCAAGAATGCGGATGCAAACACTGGGAGAAAAAGGGCAAACACTGGCTGATCCAGACTCCCACACAACTGCTCCTGTTGTGAAATCCACCACGTGGGAGCTGCTGAGGGGTTTGCACAAATGCCATAGGACTTTCTGCATCTCTGTAACTCTGCTGTCTCTTCCCATGGCCGTAGGGAGGGATGTGTCTGCCTGGAGAGAGCTGGAAAATGACATTGCCTCTCTCTCACTCTCCAGCAAGGAATGTAGCTGACAGCTGATGACAAAATTTTTCTTGCTTTTCCTTCAGTATGAAGTATTGAATGTACTAAAATAGGAGGATGATTACCCAAAATTTAAATATTTCTGTATGAACAGTTACAGAACATGTTCATTAGACAATAATCTCATCAGCATCCTTGAATAAGGTACAGCACTAGGAATCACCATATGGTTAAAATACCTCTTGTTTGAATACCAAAGCATCAATGCAGTTCATCAGGTTGTTCTCATTAATGCTGCCTTTCCTTTTCTTGAGGTATTTCTTTATGATCACACCCACCTCTTCTACCTTTTTCAGTATCATCTTGGGAGGTTTGAGGAGAAATCCAAGGAATGGGTAGAAATTAAACAACTAAAAAGGAAGCAGGAAAAAAAAAATCACAAAAAAATTAAACCCACCCATTACCTTGTAACACTCAAGGGTCTTAATGGAGGAATCATTTACGTGAGGAACCACATTATATGGTTGGAGGCTCTTTTCTGGTAACTAAAAATTTTTAATGTATAAAAGGGCCTCCTCTTAGTTCAAATTCCCCACAGAAATGAATTGCCAGACTTGTCTAGATAGAGCCTATAAACGTGAATTTTAAAACACAATTAAGAGAAAGTGGTAGTAAACTCATGAAACAATGAAATCACATTTTTAAAGAGGCAATAAAGCAAAAAGATAAAGCATTTTGCAAAGAAAACTCCAAATGTTTAGTAAGCCAAAACACTTCTGTTTTGAAGTTAGATCATTGATTTTATCTTTCACATGAATTATAAATCAATTACACTCAGCATGGTTAAATTTCACAGCACAATAAGCAGCTGCATTTTATATGCAGGGAAGTTACTTACACCATTTCTCAATGTTTTAGATAAACTGGCTGCAGAATAAGATTCACTAATCTCTTGCTCTTGCTAACTGGCTGGGGGTTTTGCTGGTTTCTGCAAAACCTGAACTTGAAAACCCCCAAACACGTGTGCAAATGTCCCTAAGACAAGAGGTTAATTCTGGACGTTCACACAGCATCCAGCAGAAAATAACTGGAAGAAGCTTTTCTGCCTACATCCACAAAGAAAGTCAGTGTTTCAGTAGTTATATCACTAGTCTGTTTTTAAAGAAAGGAACTCTGGCTATTCCTTCCCTGAAGAAACCTCATTCCTCCTCTCTGCCACCTTAGCCTTGTTTAGACTGAAAATCCTAGGAAATAGAGCATGTCAGTATTTTGTGGTTTATTCTGGGTACTGCTGCAAAAAATACTGACAAAAGCAAAGAAACAAGCAAATTCCTCCCAGAAATCCCAGGTATGCAGAATCTTTCTGGGCAGGAGGCATTATTTCAGGCAGTTGTGTGCTGCTCACACCAAAGTTCTGGGTTTGGCTTGTCTATAGCTCTGTCTCCCTGCAGCCTGACACATGGGAATTCATGGGATTTGTCTCGGGCTGACTTGTTTTTCCTTAGAAAAATAACCCAGCTGTTTCAGAGAGCAAGGCTGGGAGCAGATGACACTGCTCCATCCCTGTTGGGAACAGGACACGGGATTTCACTGAACAGCTCGTGGTTTAGAGGACAAACTGCAGGGGGACAGGAGGGATGGCAGGGACCTTTGTCACCTCTGCTGACAGCTGGGGAACTCCCTCCCACAGCAGCCAAAAAAAATGCTCAGTCAGGAGGGCACAGAGGTGTTTGGGTACAATGCAGAAACCTCCTTTCCCAGGAGGGCTCTCAGGGCTGAGCACAGCCAGGATCTCTCCAGTCACACAGCCAGGATCTTCACCCAGTCACACAGCCAGGATCTCTCCAGTCACACAGCCAGGATCTCTCCAGTCACACAGCCAGGATCTCTCCAGTCACACAGCCAGGATCTTCACCCAGTCATTGGGAAGCAGCACAGGGGGCCCTTCCTCACCCTGGGCCTCCCTCTTGACGAGACAAACCCCCTCACGTACATGCTGTATGCATTACATACATATTAGGTCATCAAATCTTTCTCATTCAGCCTTAGATCATTCCCTTCATTGTTTTCCAATGTCTAGTCTCGGGCAATGTATTCGTTTTTAACATGCAATTCAGAAACATGACAGAACTCTGTTTACAGAACTAATTGTTTGAGGTACAAACAGCCCGTGCTACTGCACTCCTGCCAGTTCTTGCA